AGCGGTTTTTCCGCCCCTTTACGTTTGCAATACATATTTTGCTTGATGTTCGGTCATCGTTGTCCCAGCGTGCTAAGTTGCAGTGCGGTTGAATTTCTAAGCAAAGTGGACTGAACGTGACCTTTGACGTGAAATTGTGAAATTTATTATTCGTAAAATTTGACATATGGTGGCCAATAGATCCGGGAAAAACAACAAATACATATGGTCAAATAGATCCCGGAAAAAAAAAAATATAAATCTATAAAAGACCTACATATTGTGTACATCTTAAAAACTTTGTTATTCGACTGTAAAACTTGACAACGCACGACGTATAAAATTGTTCAGAAAAGTAAAATGTGTGACTTAAATTGATCTTCACGTACCGAACAGTTAATGGCTCAGACTATATCACAATGTTTCTACTGTTCTTCTACGATCTATCTTCCTCTCTTGGTGATGTTCGGTCCTGTGTCATTGTCACGTCCGGATCTACTTCCACACGAATGGCCACAACAGTCCCGATCGTACTCCCTGTTCAAAATATCACAGCCACTCACACTATCGTTTTCATGGCAAATTGGAAAATTCCTGGCTCAATTAAATAAGTGTAATTAAGGGTAGTTGTTTAGTAACATACACCGTGTACTTTAGAAATAATTCCGTTACCGTTCCGTTCAATAAATATTATCGTGAAAAAGTTGTTTCCGTTAAGTTTCACGAATGCTTTTTACTTTGTAATTCTTTTACCGTAAATTTTGGTACGTAATTTTTTTTTCGATTAGTTTATTTGTAATTTCTTTTTTATGTATTCAGAAATTATAAAAGTAGGGTTGACATGTGGAGATTATCCGGCTGAACAAAACGTGATCCCTCTCTTAAATGTGTGTCACCACAGACCTTATTTCGAGCTATTTTCTAAAATCCTATGGAGAATTTGCATTGGTTTTTCAAGAAGGAACCGGAAGAAGTTTACTTCCGGGTTTTACGACGCGTTACTGCGGGTCTCTATTGGGACGCTACTCAAGATGGCGCAGACAAATCAACTTCCGGTGAGGCCGAGGAGCGAGGAAATGAAAAATAAGAGAAGTGAGAAGGGCCCTGTGTCTTCCCTCCTGTGTGATTACCTGATTCTGTTCACCTGTGTGTTTTCCCTCCCCTCCCCAGCTGTGTCTTGTCATCTTGATTGGCCAGGTGTGTATTTAAATTATTGTCTTCTGTTGGGGTTTTGTGGGTTCCTTTTTGTGCTTAGTGGGAGATAGAGTTCCTGTCTGTTTTTTTGTTGATCCTGTTGCCTTGAATAAAGGTTTTTTGCTGTTAAACATTTGTCTGTCTGCGCTTGGGTCCTCCCTGCGCTGCTCAACCTTAACAGCATTTCTAAAAGACAATTCCGGGGGAAAAAAACTTTTCCAGCTAATCGGGAGAGATTAAAACTCAATTGGTCTTGATATTTGTATTCTCTTTTGCCTCTTAAGACGTGTGACTGTATACAATTATCACAGTATTATTTCTCAAAAAGAAATATTAGACATTGGCCTGTAGTTTTAATTTGTGTTTTTGGTTGAAAAAGAAGACACTTTTGCCAGATCCCACATTTGTTCTTATTCAGGGGGCTCTGAAAGCTACTGAAAAAGCAAAACAGGACACTTAATTGTACCAAATGTACTGTTTTTCGTATCACAAAGGATATTCTTACTCTCAACATGACAAATCCTACTCCTTATACCTAATCGTAGGCGATTCAACCAACAAAAATGACAAGAACTAGCCAATCAATAAATAAAACAAGTACTGCATACGTGGAATTTGTCTTTCTTTGGCATCTCCTGTTAGCAATTTCCCAAAAGAAACTCCGGCCAAAAGCATTATAATGCTTCAAGATTTTAGGGATAAAAATATTCAAGTAAAACCTAAGTGTATATTTTATTTTTGAATATTAACCAGTAGGTTTACTCTTCTATGGCTCAGGAAAAACATTTCACCAACAAAATAAATAAACAAAATGGGATTTGAGTTCCTCCGCAGCATCTGTCACGGTCCTGACAAGAAACCCATAGATTATGATGGCAATGAGTGACAGAAATGTTGCCAGTAGAGACAGGGGAAGGAGGGGAAATGTGTGCCTTGTCGTCTGGAAGTAGTGCCCCCCCCCCCCTTTTCTTCCAGGCTCCCAGCAGATAATGGATTTTACTGTACTATTAGGCGAGAATGAAAGGATGGTGTGACAGTTTCCGTTTCTCTCTGAGGAGAGTGTTTTAATCTCCCGGCATGAATTTACATTAGTCTGTCATCTGATGGAAAAGGCGTTTATGTTTGGGCAAGTCTATATAATAAGGCTTATAATGGGATGTTTAGGTCAGAAACCAAGTCATCTTTCATGTGATTTACAGTGAGGATAACTCTTTATCACCTACTTTTACTTCATTGTTACGTTCCCTCCTGGACTAGGGGTACAAATGGAAGTAACAACATATCAAATAACCGGGAGAGAGTAAAAAGAGAGGAAACTGATTTCTGAAGCCACAAGGTGATTTAAAGATAATGGTGATGTTTTGTAGCCAAAAAGTAAAGGGGGCTCACCAGCCAATTTGCAAAGTAATCTAATGATAAACAAAAAACAACTTTCCTATTAAAGAAAGTAACTAAAGTACACAAGGTACACTGGAGCACATCTCCTAATATTTAAAGGTGACCTATCATGCAAAATGCACTCTTGTACGTCTTTTATACATGAATATGTGTCCCTGATGTGTCAGGGAACTCACCAAGTGTCAGAAAACACAACCCTCTCTATTTTCCTCCATACCCAAACCTCTAAAAACGGGGCTGCAACGGATCTGATACAGACTGATACAGATTTGAAATAGAGTGGCGAAGTCATGCCCATATACTTCGGGTCCATGGAACCTTATTTCGGAAAAATAATGTATTGAAGTCAATGGAGAGAGAAAACGTATCTTTCGATCCCGTTTGAATTGTGCCATGAAAT